AACCAGAGTTCAGTGGAGTTTTCAACTAAAAGTTGTTAATATGTTGACCTGAGGGGAGGGATTAAAAAAAACATTGGTCAAAAACAAATTATTTAAGAAGGCTTAGCTTAGAATTTGGAAAGTCCATGTTCTCAAATAGAACCTTTCAAGAGTCAGTCCAGTAGGTTGCATTTAAAAAAAAGTGTCATGTATCACGCAGGAGTGTCCCTAAGACACTTTTGTGTTCCCAGGAAATTCTCCATCAGAACCCAAGTGTCCTCTAAACAGTTAGGCGCTCAATATCGGCGCTCACGCTCATAATTTTTATTTTATTTAACTCAAAATTTTAATTAGATTTGAGGGTTGGGGGACATTTGAGGCAATGTTTTCTCGGCATGCACGAGATTCCAGAGAATCATCCGAGAGCTACAATCAACAGGAATAATTGGTGGAGGGCTTTGGTGGCTCTGTGATGCCACATGGTCCTTTTGCAGATTTCCTTCCTGGCATTGCCTACTGTGGCAGAGCTTCTCCTGATTATATTTGTGGGGAAAATCTGTTCTCGCCATCATTTATTCTCCCCTCACAATCCCATTGAGAGGACCTCACAGGAACAAACGCAGCTTTCATTTTATACAGAGGTTCCAAACAGCCGCAGGGTCACTGGTGGCCGGCGTTGTGCAGAATCACACTTGAGTAGATTGACTGCTGCTGCGGTTTTTGCCTATTGCTTGAATTGAAAATTCCTTTCCCTTGTATCACTCAGCATTTGATTTGTTTTCATGATGGTGCAGCGGCTTTTGTGCCTCAAGGAGAAGCATTTGTTTTATGTTGCTTTATGAAAAAACAGTGTTTGCACAAGAGGAAAATGTGACGCAATGCCCTTGTGAAGTAAAGTGAATGGCAAATGTGCTTGATATCATCCAGGCAGAAGATAACAAAGGCTTACAGTCTGGCTTTGTTTGGGTGATAATGTGATTATAAGGCTTGTGGAGACCTGACTGGAGAGACTGCGTGTTTACAGCGAAGGGACTGTCACAACAAGTGTCTGCAAGAGGCACAAACACACACACACGAAGAGGAGTGTGTCGAAAGAGTTTCCTTTTCTCCCCTGAGGTATTTGTGTATGCAGAGGAGGAAGAGAGTGGGCTGAGAGACAAAAGACAGAAGAGTGTGAGAGGAAGGGGAAAGAGAGCAGGTGAGCAACAGAGAACAGAGAGAGAGGGAGGGGGACACGGGGGAGGAGGGGGCAGTGTTCTCCTGCATCAGCCTTTCAGATCTTTTGGATTGCTGCCTTTGGGATGATGGGATTAAAGAGTCTTTTATAATTTGACCTCTGCAGGATATTTGATTCCAACATAATTCACCCGTCCCCCCCGGTCCTCGTGGAAGGTCACACACTTTACACATCATGCATCATGTAAAGCAAATCAGTGTCACATCTACAATGTGTGAGGCCCTGGGATCAATAACTACACCTGTTAGGAGGACAGTTATTTTGCAGCAAAGGCACATCGTCATGCAGAAACGTAATCGTCCGTTTTTACAAATCTACCAAAACATAGCCACACCTGAGGATTCTAGTTCTTCACAGAGAATGGTATGTGCTGCATGTGTGCTTGTGTGGTCCTTGTGGTCCACAATAAAGGGACAACAAGATACCAAAGCCACACCAGTGTCTGTCTCAGCCGCTATAAACAGTTTAACACTGCTGAAATAAATGCAGAAAAAGCGAAATGACCCATTTACTGTTAACTACATTAGCAGGAAAAAATAACTCTAATGAGAGATGACTGGGTGGGTGGTTTTGTTCAGTTTCATCTCTTGGCTAATTCATCTCCTGTCCTCATTTCAACTGTTTGTGAAAATGTACCACATTTTTTGCTTGGATCAAACTTTACGCTCAAGAATTTATGGGATCAAGCAGGAATCTATAATGTGTGAATAACAAAACTGCAGGATCAGATAAGAAATCGATGGGTCCGACTGCAAGCGTAGAGTCTGATTGCTGACTGCTGATTAGGATTTGGCGTGGTGTCAGATCTGATGAAGGTGCAGTGATTACGTTACGTTTTAGTGGAGGAGAAATTAGTGAGATTTTGAGAAGTTATTTCTGGAGTCTCACTTTAACTTTAACTCACTGGATCCCTGTTGTTTAAGCAGTCTCCGATGACCAAAGAGTGAATGAAACTGCAAGGAGTAGCTGTGTGTGCAGCAGTGTTCAGCCGTCAGTGATCATGTTTCATGGCTGTGCAGCAGCCCAGAATAGTTCAAGTCGCTCTCCTAAAGCTCACTGTCTGCCTGCTGTCTCTGCTGATTCTTTATTTACACTCTCATCTGAAGCAAACATCTTTTCTTTGTCTGCATTCTGCTTTAATAACAAGAGCAGCACAGCAGTTGTTCTTTTATAGACATTGATGTTGGAGCACGGGAATAATAATGTGTCTTTTATTTTCTTAACTCCCAAAAATACACGGTGCAGAAAACAGGAAAATGCAAAATTCTGCATTCACTTGGGGGGAAATTTGAAGGAGAAAATGTAATTTTATGTATATATTTTTTAATTGATTACTAACATTTAGATTCTAATAAATATTCTTTACTATGAAATTGCTTTGAGGTGTGGTTCTAGTTATTTGAAATTTTTATAGTTTGATTTCATATCATTACAGCCTTAAAAATACATATATAATATAAATATATACACACACACATTTATACACATATAAATGCATATACACACATTTATACGCATATATTAACACAGACATATATAGATACATATATGTAAATATATATAAATAAATACACAACTTTATATTTATACACATATAAATGCATTTATACTGTATGTATGTCTGTATTGTATGTGAATAAATTTAAGGCAGTACTACACACTGCAGTATATCGTAGTATCTGCTAGGTATCTGCTTTGGCCATCCGTACACATCAATGTGTTATGCTCTTATCATGCTGTTGACTGTTATCTGACCATAATGATTTTCTTCTCTCTCCTCTCACGCGCCCATTCTGAGAGAGAAGGCCAACTTATAACTTGACAGGTTGTCAGTGGTCTACTGTAATAAGACTCAAACATCTTACATCAAAACACACACACACAGACACGCACACACACAAGGGCTGAGGGGTTTTGTATATGTGTATGGAAGTAGATGGGGAGTCAAAATGTTGATAGAGATAAATGTGTGTCCCTGCCATAGAGCAGATCGTATGATAAGACACAGAAGCAGGATGTCATTTATATTTTCACACGTGGACGCCCTCAGATATCTGTGTCACTGATCCTGTAGTCGCATAACCTGCACGCACAAATTTAAAAATGGCATCCCTGCATTTGTTCACTGAACCGAAATGATGAATTAACAAATAGAATCATAACTTCCACCAGTTTAGAAGCTCTTTCTCAGAGCAGGACTTTTATGTTGGAGAATCCCTGTAAATCACACGTTGAGGCTGCAACATCACCAACTAAAGCCGCAGAAATTATCTTCGTCTGAGCAAATAAAACATCTCAGTGAGGCAATGAATAGAAACAGAAGTAAAATACTGCCTCGTAAAACAGACAAAGCTGAGTTGTTCCTTTTGTTAGTGGAAGAAAAATCAAGTCATTTGATTGGAGGAGAAGTATTTCCTGAGTGTAGATAAAGAG